ATAGAACACCTAAACAGACCAATTACAAGCAGCAAAATTGAAATGGTAATTAAAAACCTCCCCAAAAACAAAAGCCCAGGACCTGATGGATTTACAAATGAATTCTACCAAACATTCAGAGACGAATTAGTGCCTATCCTTCACAAACTCTTCCAAAAAATTGAGAAGGAAGGGACAATACCAAACACGTTCTATGAAGCCAATATTACACTAATACCAAAACCGAATAAGGACAACACAAAAAAGGAAAACTATAGGCCAATCTCCCTAATGAACACTGATGCAAAAATCCTCAATAAAATTTTAGCTATCAGAATCCAACAATGTATCCATAAGATAATTCACCACGACCAAGTTGGATTCATTCCAGGGGCACAAGGATGGTTTAACATCCGAAAATCAATCAACGTTATCCAACACATCAACAAAAAGAAATATAAAAACCATATGATAATATCAATAGATGCTGAGAAAGCTTTCGACAAAGTGCAACACCCATTCATGATAAAAGCCCTTGAAATTCTTGGGATACAAGGAACATACCTCAACATCATAAAGGCCATCTATGACAAGCCAACAGCCAGTATCATTCTCAATGGTGAAAAGCTGAAAGCAATTCCATTAAGATCTGGAACAAGACAAGGATGTCCACTCTCACCACTGCTTTTCAATATAATACTGGAAGTCCTAGCCAGAGCAATAAGACAAGAGAAAGACATCCAAGGAATCCAAATAGGAAAAGAAGAAGTCAAACTATCACTATTTGCAGATGATATGATAATATACATAGAGAACCCCAAAATCTCCACAGAAAAACTAATTCAACTCATCAATCAATTCAGTAAAGTGGCAGGATACAAAATCAACACGCAAAAGTCAGTAGCCTTCCTATACACAAACAATAAATCTGAAGAAGAAGAAATCAAAAAAACCACCCCTTTTATTATCAAAACAAAAAAAATCAAATATTTGGGAATAAATCTAAGAAAAGAGGTAAAGGACCTATACAAAGAAAACTATAAAACACTGTTAAAAGAAATAGAAGAAGACACAAAGAAATGGAAAGACATCCCCTGCTCATGGATTGGAAGAATAAACATTATTAAAATGGCCATCCTACCAAAAGCAATATACAGATTCAATGCTATTCCAATCAAAATCTCAATGGCATTCTTCAAAGAAATAGAACAATTATTGATGAAATTCATATGGAATCACCAAAAACCCCGAATAGCCAAAGCTCTACTGAAAAAAAAAGAAGGAAATGGAGGCATCACACTCCCAGACTTCAAACTATACTACAAAGCCATAATCATCAAAACTGCATGGTATTGGAACAAGAACAGACATACAGACCAATGGAATCGAATAGAAAATCCAGAAATAAACCCACAGATTTATGGTCAACTAATCTTTGACAAAGGAGCAAAGACTATGCATTGGAGCAAAGAAAGTTTGTTCAATAAATGGTGCTGGGAAAACTGGGTCGCTACATGCAAAAGAATGAAGCTTGACCACTACCTCACACCATACACAAAAATCAACTCAAAATGGATTAAAGAACTAGACATAAGACCTGAAACCATAAAATACATAGAAGGAAATATAGGCGAAACACTACGGGATTTGCACATCAAAGACATCTTTACAGACACATCACCCAAAGCAGTGATAGTGAAGAGAAAGATAAACAGCTGGGACTACATCAAATTAAAGAGCTTCTGCACAGCAAAAGAGACAATAACAAAAACAAAGAGAAACCCCACCAACTGGGAGAACATTTTTGCACCCAACACTAATGATAAAGGACTGATCACAAAAATCTGCAAAGAGCTGATGAGACTCAGCAACAACAAAGAAAATAATCCAGTCAAAAAATGGGCAGAAGAGCTAAAAAGAAACTTCTCTGAAGAGGAAATGCAAATGGCCAACAGACATATGAAAAAATGTTCAACATCACTTGTAATCAGGGAAATGCAAATCAAAACTACCATGAGATACCATCTCACACCAGTGAGAATGGCACATATTAAAAAAACTAGCAACAACAAATGTTGGCGAGGATGTGGAGAAAAAGGAACTCTTGTGCACTGTTGGTGGGAGTGCAAACTGGTCCAACCACTATGGAGAGCTGTGTGGAGATTTCTGGACCTACTAAACATAGAGCTTCCATATGATCCAGCAATTCCACTCCTAGGTATTTACCCAAAGGACACAGAAACATCAATTCCAAAGAGCACCTGCACTCCTATGTTTATAGCAGCACTGTTTACAATAGCTAAGCTTTGGAAACAACCCAAATGCCCAAAAATAGATGACTGGATCAAGAAGATGTGGTACATATATACCATGGAATATTACTCAGCATTCAAAAAAGATAAACACATGCAATTTGCAGCAACATGGATGGCGCTGGAAGGGATCATGCTCAGCGAAATAAGCCAAAAAGAAAAAGAAAAATACCGGATGGTCTCACTCATAGCAGGAATCTAGAAAACTTAAATAAGGGACCAGGAAAATGAATATAAGAAAGTGAAAATCAAAATCAACAAAAAACTATGAACCAGAGACACTTGTTGGGGGGTGGGGGGCGGGAGGGGAAGGATTGGGGTCAGAATGGGGCGTTTGCAATTGTATGGGGGAATATAAAAATAAAATTTAATATTAAAAAAAAAAAAAAAAAAAAAGAAACCCTAAGCAGCTAAGTTGAGAGGGGCAAGCAGAGGAGCACCACAATAGTGAATAAGCATTCTGAAGCCCACAAGTGACAGAAACACTGAGAAGACAAAGCTACATCTATAGTAATTGTCTATTTCAGTGAGAACAAAGCTCTGCCCCTTCCCTCATGGAAACGGTTCAATGTAATGAAACTAAGTTTGACTATATCCCCAGGGAATCATGCCCCCCCAAATGGTTCAGTGTCAATCTCTGTTATTGGTATTTGGAGGCTCAGCAGTGGACTTGGAGGATAGCTTATCTACCATTATGATATTCCAGATAGCGTTATTTAGACTTGGAACTCATTATAAGGAAAATGAAATTTGGGTTTGGGCACATGTTCATGGAATTACTTGTCTTACCATATTCTCAATCTTCCTGAAGCAGCTGGCCTGACTGAACAGTAGGAAGACCTTTGGGAGACTCATTTATAGGATCTTTGCAGGGATGGGATAATGTTTGGGATGCTCTGATTTAGCAACCAAGAATCTGCTATTTTTCCCAACTATAAGAATTAAGATGTGGAAAAGCTCACTCAAAATTATTCCTAATGGTTCATTAGTGTTTGTTTGTTTGTTTTTCTTCCTGTCTTCATAAATTTGGACTGGGCATGTTTAGAGGTCTTGGTTCCCAAGCAATGAATACTTCCACTAAGGAACAAGAAATAATCCCCTTAGACAGAAAGTTAAGATGACTCTGTGGGTTCTTTACACCAATAAACCAACAGATTTGGAGGGACATACTGTTCTGGCTGAGTAAGATTGGGACATTCCAGGAAGGAAAATTCTTTGTTGTGGAACTGTCAGTTAGAATAAGATCCTCAGTCATTTGGTGCCAGTATAAACTTGTAGCCATTGATCCAGCCCCACAAATTATCCTTCTCCCTTCCAGATGTTCCATAGGGATATGAAATTGCTGTACTTGAGAATCACTTTTCAGTAGTGCATCTTTTCAAGGCCAATGTTTATTTTTGTGACATTTTATTAAACAATACTAGAATAATAAGCTTGATAAAATATTTCTTATTGAGTCAAACAAATTAGAAACATGATATTCTATAGTTTCCCTTTTTTCCAGCACTTTGTTTTTAGCTGGGGACTTAGTTTTAAGTTGGGTTTTAAACTGTTAGTTTTAAGCTCATTAGTTAAATAGTTTTAAACTACTAGTTTTAAGATATCTTGTGGATTTAAATTATGATCACAATCTTTAAGAACTTGGCCAAGTTAAGACCATTGACTTTAAAGCTATCCAGACTGGCATTCACTGAATGGGGATTTCATGGCAGCAGAACCCATTTGATAGAGAATTATTTGCAAGAAATATTATTTTTTTAGAAAAAACATCTTGCTAAAAATATTATTTTATTAGAAAAAACATGCTGCTATGCAAAAGGATGTATTACATTGGCTTCTGCATAGCAAGCTCAGGTTTTAAATTAAACTTAATTTGTGCCAATGGGGATTGCATCAGCTGGTTACACACACGCGCGCGCACACACACAATACTGGTGACTCTTACCTTCTGTGTTCTTCTTTTTCATCATAATGTTTATCATAGCAACATCTGCAAACTACTTCTACAGAATTCATTCCTGGTGCTGGATAATACATTGGCTCCTCTCAGCATCATAAACTTTCTGGAAATGTGCATAAGTTGCACTTGGATCTTGGCTAGTGACTGCCCCCATCACACCTCTGAGGCTGCTTAAGTCAGTTTATTTCTCTGGACATTGATTGTCTTAATACACAGGCAAAAAAACTGACTTAAAGAATATAAGTTTAAATGAACTTAAAAGTCATTTCCAGTGTTTACATCCAGTGGGTCTGATTTAATTTCTGTCCTTACTATGTCCAGTACAAATCTAGTGGAGTAACACCTCCCCTATGCTCTTAAATTATAGACCAGCCCCCAAGGAGACTGACCCTGACTCTAGGTACAACCTGGATGCTTCATTAGGAGTTTCTCTCCTCCACCTAGGATTGCCATCCTTCCTCCTGCCCTCCAAGGATTCAGGTTTCCAAGTATATAGCTCTTTGAAACTATATATGGCTACAGTCCGAGGAGACTATCATGTACTCTAATTTTTCATTGAATAGATGAACAAATGGAGGCCCAGAGAAGAGAAGTGACTTTCTCAAAGCCAAAAGTCAGCCAGTAGCAGAGCTGGGATATTTACGTTTCTTGACTTCCAGTTCAGCTGTCTCCATGGTGCCAGTGGGCTTGTCATTAAATAATTATGACTTCACAGAAGATATTGTACCTTGAGATGATGTTATGCGCTATGTTTCTGCTGGTAATATTTCAAGCTGAATTTCTCTTTCAGTTCTAAAATGTCTACAGTGGGCATCAGGGTTCTGAGGATGTTGTTGGTCAACTGAGTTCAGCAGTAGAGGTGGCATCCACAGTGGTAACAGGGAGCCTGGAGGGTCAAGGGCAACTCACCTTCTTCCCAGAGTATATGTCTTCAAAGTGGTTTGGTGAACCATTTGCCAAAAGGATATGAATTTCAATTACTGGTGTCTGGAATGGCCATACCTACTGATGAGAAAGTACAAAGACACATTTATTTAGCAAGGTTCTATCCTAGATGCCATGTTGGGCAGTATAGTGATTAGGCTGAGGTTTTGAAGACAGCCTTATGGGTTCAAATCCCAGTTCCACTAATTATTAGCTGTTGAATCTTGAGCAAGTTATCTATTTTTTTTTTAATGGAGCAGCTGCTGCTGCTATTATCTACCTACACAGGTTTTTTTGTTAGGATGAAATAAATTAATATGTATAAAACACTTAGGTCAATGCCTGATACATAGTAAATGCTACATAGGGATGTTATTACTATGCAAATTAAAAATGTATTCACATAAAACCTCAACACATTTTGCCAGAATGAAATGATATACATTAAATGTATTGTAGTAACGACCTAGGAGAACATGGGGAATTAAAGGAATATAAGGGAATTTAAAAAAATCCTAGGCAAATGACTCCAGAACACTTGCTTTTAATCACTACAGATACTACTTTGTTATTATTCCTTTGCCAAGATGAATAAAGCAAGGCTAAAGTAAGGTAAGTCAAGGCATTAAGTATTCATGCAGAGGCAGGAAGAGTATATAGAAGTCAGTTTCCATATCAGATTGGAGATTTTGGTCCTTCTTTTCATCCCTAATCTTCAGGCTCTTCAGACAATTCATTAATCCCACTATTTGGAAAGCCTATTCAGATTTTTCTATTCACATCAAGATTCTGCAGAAAATGGAGTTAAGACAGATGTTATCCAACCCTATCAAGCATTGTCTATGATGCCTGCAATTCAAGTCCATGAGCTTCATCAAGTTTTATATAAATAGATGCAAGTGTATAATTGAAATAAAAAAAATTAATGGCCCCAAATAGGGGGACATTAAAATATGGCTCAATAAAATGTGTCCATCCATATAATAGAATATAAGCAGCCTAAATGATATTACTATGGACTAACATTAAGAACCTAGACAAATATTTAATATATAGTTATTTAAAAAATAGATCACATTGTAGTATGTAGAATTTATCAAGGTGGCATGTATACATATGCATACGTGCCTATACACACAGACATAAATATATCCATGTGCAGAATAATGGAGGGCAGTGGCATATATCAATACAGTCATCATCTTGGGCAGAGTCTTACTTGTGCCTCTTTTATCTATAGTTTCCATTTCTTTAATAATAAATCTGCAGAAACCCTTTTTAAGGAAAAATAATTTACTAAAAACAGCATGAGAGATACCTAAAATAAAGGCTGTTTTTCCCATGGAAATTGTACTCCTTTTCTATAATCAAGTTGAAAATGATCTTTCCTACTCCTGCCAAGCTGATGCAATAGCTTCTACCTTTGATACAGGTGGCTGCTGTTATACACGGCTACTGCAGCCTGCGTCCCATTGCATTTTGGTTATTGGGTACATACCTATTTACAACCACCTGGCAGAGTCTGGGACATCGATATTTTTAAATGAATGGATTAGTGATTTGGTAAGGGGTCAACAGCATGGATTTGTATACGTGCTCTCTCTGCCATTTATAAGCCAGGGATGTTCCAGGCTCCTTACCTGTACAGTGGCAATAAGAACAGTGGGTCCAGACATCTCCAACTGTATTTTGTAAATGGCAAAGTGACAGTCACAAGATAGGTGGGGGTGCAGAGTTTATTATTATTGCTACATCTATTATTAATAGTTCTTCATCTTCCAACCCTGATTTCTCCTCAGCTCCCTAAGGCATCATGGTTACCATAGCAGCCAGAGGCTGATGATGCCTCCAGGGGCAGTAAGGTGAAATTGAGCCTGCTCCTTGGTCTTTGCTTTCGCATGTTCTTTGCAGGCTAGAGAGAGATGGTCTGAAACTCAGCTTCTCTTCTAGTCTACCACCCTATCTTGGGTCATTTAGATCCACAAACCTGCCTCAGCAGCCTCAGTTCAGGGCCCTGAAACACCTCTTCAGAGACTCCTGCCTCCCCAAGCTCTGTCTCTTGGCACCCTGCCTGGTTGCCCTGGAAACAGGTTCCACTGCGGACAAAGGAGGGAGCTGGGTCCTGCTTCTCCTTGGTCCTGTCGATGAGGATTTTTAGACCGTGGAGACTGCGCTGCCCAGCCCTGCACCTGCCCTCGCTCCCCTCATTCTCCTTCAAGTGGAGCTTGCCTTCCCTTGCCCCTGACGACACCATGTGTAAAAGTGTGACCACAGGTGAATGGAAGAAAGTCTTCTATGAGAAGATGGAGGAAGCAAAGCCAGCAGACAGCTGGGACCTCATCATAGATCCCAACCTCAAGCACAACGTGTTGGCCCCTGGTTGGAAGCAGTATCTGGAATTGCACGCCTCAGGCAGGTGAGTAGCCCAGTCAGTAGGGGTCCTGCGGGCTGCCCCTGGGGCACCTTCCAAGAGGAGACAGAAACAAGAACCCAGGTACTGCAGGTCAGGCTCACTGCTGGGCTGGTGTAGGCTGGGAGGGAGACTCCCTAACCAGAACTTTGACACTGGAGTTGGATTCCAGCTCTTCCACTGAGCACCCATGTAATTTCGCTCTCTGAGTCAGTTTTCTGGGAGAAAAAAAAAGTGATATATATTTATTTGTTCTTTGAATACTTAAAATATTTTCCAATTTTAATAATCCTTTAAAATGGTTAAAAACCAATAAAAGGGGGGCTTAAGGACCATGGGTGGGGGGAGAGCGCAAGTGGCCTATACTCTGGTCCGGGGAAAAGTTTGAAAGTTTGCTTTCAGTATGTTTAACTCAGTTTTACTTAATATGCAATATTGAACACGTGAGCGGCGCTATAAACTGACCCTGCTCTCAGCTGCATGGTCCTTGAGCAACTCAGTTTTTCCCTTTGACCTCGTTTTCCCATTTTGCAGGAGGCCTAGAACCTTGCCTTGTAGTCATGGACCAGCTACATCAGCATCACGTAGAAGTTGTTAAGGATTCAGAATCTCAATCCCCATCCTAGACCTACTGAATCAGAACGTTCATTTTAACAAGGTCATGGGTTGTTCATATGAGCAATGGTATCTGGAAGCTGACTGTTGAGCAGTTGTCCATGGGTGTATTGAGTGAAGACTTCCCTATGGGCCACAGAGGGGAGGCTGAGTGCTGCAACCTGGAGTCAGAAGTAAGGCCTTCCTTCCAGCCCTGGCTCAGTCCATTCAATTCAATTTAAGCAACATCTGTTGATACTTTTTGTGTGTTTGGGGATGGACTCAGTCTCTAACTAGTTATGTGCCAAGGATCATTTTCTTATTCTCTGTGTCTCAGAGTAAAACATACCAATGCTAACTTGGTGATTTCTATGAGTACACCAGTGCTGACATTTTCCACCCCAATTTTTGTAATCTAGTTTGAGAAAAAGGAAACAGCCTTAAGCGGAAATAATTAAAAGAAATGGGAATGAAACCATGTAGTCCCTAAACAAGATGATGGGAGGAATACAGAAGGCTGGGCACTTGATGGCAGTGTGGGGGTGGGGTGGAGGTGGGTGCCTTCTCCAAGGCCTGAAGGGCTTAGAGGGCTATGTGGAGAGAATTGTGGCTCCTGCAGGTCTGGTTGTGGCCTTGACCTTCAGGTGGCCCCAAGCAGTTCATTCTGCACATAGACTGCACATAGACTGCTTCCAAGCCTTGGGATGCATAAACTCAGCACTAGCCTGGAGTTTGAGAAGTGGTAACAGTATTGTTTGAATCCTGATCTGGACTATGCAGTTCATAGTCAGGTAGCAATGTGTGCACTGAGTGATTATATGTTTCCTGTTGTGGGTCATTGCCACACTCAGAGTCAAAGGAGGGCTGAGCAGGAAGGGTCCATCTAGTACACTGTGTGCATTTTAGAGATGAAGAAAGATGCCTAGAACCAAGGCCCTGGTGTATGACCTGAGGGGATTGAAAGACAGGGAGCCGAGTCCTCAGCAGAGCACAGAGGAGGTAGCTAGCAAGGCAGAGCAGTGCTGGATGTCAGGTGTGTCCTGGAGAGTGCATCCGATCCTAGTAGCACACACAAAGGGCCAGGCCAGGCAGCCAAGTGGGGAAAGCTAATGAACCAGGGGCCCTAAACACAGGACCTCCACTTCCAAGCTCTGCCTACTGACCTTCACCCCTTTTTCTATTCTACAGTTGTTTCACTCCATCCTGTCTTCCTTCCTTTCCCTGTCCCTGCAGGTTCCACTGCTCCTGGTGCTGGCACACTTGGCAATCGCCCCACGTGGTCATCCTGTTCCACATGTACCTGGACCGTGCCCAGCGGGCAGGCTCGGTGCGCATGCGCGTCTTCAAGCAGCTGTGCTACGAGTGTGGCACGGCGCGGCTGGACGAGTCGAGCATGCTGGAGGAGAACATCGAGAGCCTGGTGGACAACCTCATCACCAGCCTGCGCGAGCAGTGTTATGGCGAGCGTGGCGGCCAGTACCGCATCCACGTGGCCAGCCGCCAAGACCACCGGCGGCACCGGGGCGAATTCTGCGAGGCCTGCCAGGAAGGCATCGTGCACTGGAAGCCCAGCGAGAAGCTGCTGGAGGAGGAGGCGACCACCTACACCTTTTCCCGGGCTCCCAGCCCCACCAAGCCGCAGGCTGAGGCAGGTTCTGGCTGCAACTTCTGCTCCATCCCCTGGTGCTTGTTTTGGGCCACGGTCCTGCTGCTGATCATCTACCTGCAGTTCTCCTTCCGCAGCTCAGTCTAGGATTCCCTTGGTGGGTCCGGGGGACTCATGGGGCCCGAGAGCTGTGGGGGCCATCCAGCTGGTGGAAGGGGAAGAAGAGAGACCTGGTTGGGAGAGGGATCAGATTCTAGCTCTGGCGCTGCCACTGATTCAAGGGCACCTGGGACAAAACACCCAGTTTTTCTATTTAAAGTTTTTTCTATTCTAAAATTATAGGTTTGGGCTAAGCTCATTGATTTTTGAAAGGGTTCCAAAATCCTGCTTCAGTGTCTCAGGGACTTTTGGATTTTGAATATAATTTGAGTGAGTGGGTTTCTTATTCCGGTCCAACCACTCTGCCCCAGCTCCTACCTCCTCCTCCTCTGGCAGTAATCAGAAGGGAACTCTTAGATGGAGTTCCATTTAAGAGTTTTGTGTGAACAAATGTTCCACTGCTTTTTAAAAAGTTTGAAAACGACAGGTAGGTGATCAGAAAAGGCCTTTTCATAGTGATGAGCTCATCCTTACTCTCTTGTTAACCCTCCACTCCTCACCTTCGTTATCTGCCACATCTGGAGCTGCAGCCTTAAATTAGCCTCTACCTAGGGTATAAGCGGCACCCACAGCTCTGCACCCATGCACACAGCAGAGATTCCTCTTGCAGAGTGAGAAGTGGGGCCACTAGGCTGACCCTTTGGTACTCCATGCACAGTCTCTTTGCTTCTGTTTACCAGACTCCCAACTTCCAGCTTCCCTCCCTTAAGGGTAGATTTTGGCATCTGTCTGGATCAAAGATGGTGATTGAGGTGGAGTCCCATAAAGCTAGGCTTCCCTCTCTCTGAATGTGAACTGGCAGAGAATTCAAGGGAGATTTTTCTATAGAAGGTAGAGTATTAGCAGTAAAGTGCACGCGCACATGCACACACACACACACACACACACAATTTTGGGAAACAAGTAGATTGACGCTGCTTTGTACTAGAGAGTTCAGAGTTCAGGTACCAAGTCTGCCTGATTCTCAAAAGTCCTGATGGCTAGAACACAGGAGCAGGGACATGGTCTCCAGGCTTTTTGCTGAATCCTAGATAAGAGCCTTTCCCACACGGGCCATACACAAAGCTTCCTCACCAAAGATCAACTGTCCGTCTAAAACCATTGGAATGGGGGTCCATGAGCAAGAGAGGGAACATTAAAGATGTGAAGTGCTTTGTCCATGGAACAGTGCATAAATATGTGGAGGAATCCTACATTGCTGTAAAATGCAATGCTATATGGTCAAGAGTGGGAGGAGAGAAGATTTTCTGATTGTCAGAATCTGGAGTGAGGTGTGGATGGAGCCAGATGCAGGATGCTTCACAGCTCTTTTGAGGGTTTTCATTCACCCTATTTCTCTTAATAACTTGACTCACTCTCCCTGTTTCCCCAAATGCTCCCCCTTTTAATGCAAATTCACCACCATTGAAGGGATGGAGGGAAGAGGGGCACTTTTTAATAAAGATGGGATACATTAATCAAGCTTAGTTGTCATTAATGTGTGCTTGGGATTCACCACACTGTCCCTAATTTGTAATGGGCTCTTGGGTAGTCCTTCCACTCCTTCATCTCCTCTTTCCTCTTTCTGAGGCCCCACATATGACATTATCTGACTTCAACCTCAAGGTCTGGGCCAATACTGTCCATAGTGAGGGATACAGGCTGCCCTTGGTCAGTCATACAGAGGACTCGGCATAAGGCAAGTCTTATGTGCCCTCCCCTGATTGTAGTACTTGACTTCCTCCACTTTATCCACACAATATCCATTCCTTTATCCAGGACACATACCCTGAGTACCTTTTATTGGGTGAGCCCTGATGTGGTGGGATTCAAAGGGTACTGAGGGGTAGGCCCTCCTGTCAAAGAGCTCTATTTGCTGCAAAAGCACTAACTCTTGCTGCCCTTTAAAAATCCTGGGGCATTTGTAAACAAATATCAGTGCCCAGTCTCTGCCCAAGAATAGAATCAGAATTTCTGGGCAAAGGGCTCCAGTATCAGGTTTAGAATAAGATTCCCAAGTGATCCAACTATGTTGCCTGGTTTAATGACTTCTAACTGAGGAACAAACTTCCTCTTCCACCCAATTTTATAATAATGGAAACCTGAGATCTTCCTTAATGATCTCCCTTGGATTTCTAGGACTTGGGCTCAGCTTTTTACTCACTCCTTTCTGCTTCTGTCCACCACAAGGCTTTATCCTGCTCTTAGAGTATCTATTATTGAGTGAGCACCACCATCCTTGCCTGGAGGCACATCAAACTTTGCTATACAGTACCTCCTCTTGTCCATGGGAGACACATTCCGAGACCCCCAGTGGATGCTCGAAACCATGCATCTAAATCCTATATATACTGTGCTTTTCTGATATATACACCTATCTATGATAAAGTTTAATTGACAAATAGGGTGCTGTACAACTTAACAATAAGAATAGAACAACTATAATAATACACTCTAATAAAAGTTATGTGGATGCAGTCTCTCTCTTTCAAAATATCATATTGCATGTATTATTTTTGGACCATGGTGGACTGTAGGTAACTAAATTCATAGACAAGTTTGGGGGGGACTACTATAATTTCTTGTCTATGGTTATACACCCTGCTAGAATATAAGTTCCAAGAAACATAGATATTGTACATTTTGTTCACCTCTATTGAGCACATAGTAAGTGCTCAATAAATATTTGCTGAATGACTAGTGAACCAGTGAGTTATCATCAACAGTGCCTTCTGCTTCCTCTGCCTGAGATCTGAGTTAGGTGAGACAGAGACCAGCCCTTTGTTCAGCCCATACATACAGGTAGAATAATTGCAAATAAAGTCTGCTTTTCTCCCTCTGGTTGAGGGGGTTATTGGAAACTGGGGTGCTGTCTCCCTCAAACCAAAACTGGGGTCTGTGGGGTTGGGTTAAAGGCAAATAAAAACACCACAAGGTTTTCTACTGTCCTGAAATGTGCCTTTTTCTCAGTTGGGCATTTGCTTGATTTGCTTGGGCATTTGCTTTGACCATTTCCCAGAATTCCTATGAAGTGATTTAACCAGTTTCAGGTTGTTTTTTATGTTTCCATGGGCAAACATCATTTTCAGACTTGGAGCTTCCCAACATGCCATTTTGTTGCAATGGACTCTTACCTGCACTCCCTTTCTCTCCCTCCTGTAACCCATCCTGTACACGGGGCTGTCATGAGGCTTCACCCATGCTGTTTTATCCGTCCTACTTTTCTCTTTGCCAGGCTAAGGCCAACTCAACCTTCAGTTTCCAGCCTATGCTATTTCCTATCAATGTCCTCCATGCAAGAATAGAACTGGTGCTTCTGTTAAGAACATACATTTCTCCCTCTGCTTCCTCTTTCATATCCTCTCACTTCTTTTCCAGCTCTAAGACATTATGCTTCTGAGGGTCTATTTGGGGAAAGGAAGATTTTCAGCATCCTGGGATGTTAGATTTCGAAGAATCATTAAAGTCTCAACCGTTTCACTTTGCAGATGACAAAATGTGACCACAGCATTCAAGTGACTTTCTCAGCTTCCACTGAGGTAGTTGTAGTTGTAGAGCAAGGAGTTTTAGAGCAAGGAGTTGTAGAGCAACTACAACTTAAAATATAACCAGAATCAATTCTAGTTGTTCTCACCCCACTGCAGGCTGCAGCCTCAAATGGGCCACAATTGCCTCTTCCTGGATTACTGCAGGAGCCTCCTAGATAATCTGCTCTTTCACTCTCGTCCCTGTTGGTACAATGATGGTCAATTGGACAACATCACCCATAGCTCAAAGCTTCCAATGGCTTCTTGTTCCATTCAGATTAAAAACCAATGGGGTCTGTGGGGTTGGGTTAAAGGCAAATAAAAACACCACAAGATTTTCTACTGTCCTGAAATGTGCCTTTTTCTCAGTTGGGCATTTGCTTGATTTGCTTGGGCAAATCAAGGTAGTTGTAGAGCAAGGAGTCCAATCCTCACTTAGCTTTATTCTAGAACTCTTTCCTAAAGCAGTAAGTCTCCTCCTGCTCTGTAGGAAGACATCTGCATAGCTTTCCTTATTATCCCTTACACTTGCTACAGATGGAGAGTTCAACGCTTGCTCACTGGCTTAGCCACAACATTTCTTTCTTTAGTTTTGTCTTGGCAAAATCGTCTCTGAAACAGTTCTTTCTTTGCACACGAGGCCACATGACACATGATGAACTTGTTAGAGGTACCCTAGCTTTTATAAACAAACTCCTCAGGGTGCTTCAGGATCCCAGCCTCTCCCATTGGAGCTTTTGCACACTGGCCTTGCTGTTCACACCAGGAGGGGACCTACAGGCACTGAATTGTGGTGCCAGAGACTGAAATCCTCAGTGTGGGATAAGTAAGAAGTGCTCTCTTGATCATGCCCTTCAAACTCACTAGGGCAAGAAACCAACCCAATGGAAGAACTTTTCTCAGGAGGCCTGAGAACCAATAACCAAGAAGATCACCAAATAAGGAAAATTCGCAACATCTTAAGTCCATGCACAATGAGAGATGTAAAAGATTAGACATGCCTTGTTCTAGGGCCCTAGGTCATGGATAATGAACTAAAGATCAGAGAAAATGAGAAATTTGGCTAAGATTTTACAACGAGTAAGGGAAAAATCATAAAATCTGGGGTTAAGAGATACTGGAGACCTAGTACTACTTATTAGCTTTAATGGTCTTAGCCAAGCTATTTAAGCTCTTTGAGTCCCACTTTCCTCATTAAAATGGGAATAATACTGTCTATTTTGGAGGGTCATTGTAAAGAATAAATAATACCCTGTGTGTGATATTGTCCAATATGGAGCACATGCTCATTCTTTTCTTTCTTCCTTTTTTCCCTTTCAGTTGGCAGCCTTTGTTCCGAGTCCTGAAGGAGTCCTTTTCTTAGTGATTGCAGCTCTGTTGGTAAAAGCTGTAGTAAAAAAAGATTGGAAGACAAGGGTTAACTTCCCAGTCCAAGGCTTAGAACTGGTTTATTTTAATATACGTAGAAACATTTCTTTCCTTCCACTCATATTTATTTCAAAGCAGTGACTTCTTTTTTCCAGAGGCATGGTAGCCACTCCATTCTTTTACGATAACTGTTCAAAACAAAACAAAAAAAAAAAAAAGTGCTCCAAAGAGAAAACACCAGTGATTTCTGGGCTCCATTCCCATTGGCTGAAATACCCAGGAGGAATTCAGCTCTATTCCAAGTC